CCATAAGCTACAAGGGTCCCTATTTGGGGTCCCTTCAAAAGTCCTTAGACTAAACCTGCTAGGCCCTCCACAGGACTAAGTGTTTAAGGTTCAGGGCTGAGCCCTACATCTGAACTCCAAAGCACTAGGATTTTGGGTCAAGGGTTTAGGGTTTAAGGTTCGGGGTTTGAGGTTAAGATTTAGGGTTTAAGGTAAGTTGAAGGCTACGGGGTTTCAACGCTCTCTAGCACGTTGCCGTTTTCAGCGTCAAGGGTCACCACCTGAGATGGCGAGCATCTTTGTTCTTTGACGCTTTGCTATTAGAAAAAAGTGTTGGCCACAGCTTGCGCTCTACAAGCTATAGGGTTTACGGTGGTAGATCGAGATCCTTGATGCAATGCCTAGGCACTTTGATCCCCCCACCCCTTGGTTTCTCAGAAAGGATATGTCCCAACATTGAAGGGTACAAGATTGGGAAATTGCTATATTTGGCGGAGGGGCTGTGCATTTTTTGTTGGCCATCATGTGCTATCATTTTCCTGCCCTCAAGAAGCTTAAGCTCGAAACCCTAAACCCTTAACCCTAAACCCTTAAACCCTTAACCCTAAACCCTAAACTGAGCTATGAGCTGCTTGAGAGTTACACTACAGAATCCAGGGCACACCTGGCCAGTATCCTTAACAAACATTATATGGCCCTAAACCCTAAACCCTAAAGTTTGGGGGGTTCCCAAATTTGGGGCTGTCCTTGAAGGTTTGTTTTAATGGTGGTCATGTAGGGGCTTTCATAAGGATTTACAGGGTTTAGGGTTCAGGGTTTCCCAAAACTAGGGATACATTTTTCGGGGTTCCCTATAACAAGGATTGTAGTATTTTGGGATTTATGTAAGGGTCCTCTTATTTAGGGAAACTACCCTAAATACCCTCATTGCCTGTTCACTTTCCATTTTCTTTTGCATTTGACTCATTTGTTCTAAACCATGAACTTTAAACTCGTAGAAACGGCCCGGCGCATACCTAAACCCAAACCCTAAGCCTAAACTAGGTACCTCAATGGTACCCGTTTTCCTTCTGCATTATGGAGCCTCCTTATTAAAGCTGAACATTAGGAACAAGGGTACCCTCATTATTAAGGGACTAGTGGTGAACCTAGTAAAGACAGCTCAGGACTATCTTACATCTCTATGAAACGATGCGATTCAGATGCGCCATCACTGTCTTGAGCCTTCTTATCGCAGTGCTCGAGTCGAGACGCAATCCATCTGAAGCTTGGGCTTTTGGGGTTTGGGGTTTAGGGTTTTGGGGTTTAGGGTTCAATTAGTGGTTTAGGCTTTAGGATGGTTTCGAGATGTTTCGAGTCGGGGGGTTAAGGGTTAGGGGTGGGTCTACTTCGAGGGACTTTTGGGACTACTGGTGGGGCTTGCAACTACTTAAGGATGACTGCAAGACACCCTAGGCCCTACAGCTTACATTGCGTGGCAGTTGGCCTTCCCGGGGTTTAGTGCTGGGGTGGTTTTGGGGGCCCTGAACTGTGAACTCTACACCTTGAACGCTGTGCCCGAAAAAAGCGGAACCCTAAACTTATTGCGGTTTTAGGGAGACTAAACCTTACATCATCCTTATACGCCCCTCTGTATATATGGCCACTCACTTGCTGGCCCTACCCCCCAACCACCCTGGTCTAGGCCTCCTCCCCTCTGCCCTGTCCTCCCTCCCTTTGTGGGTGTGGTTGGGGTGGCCTTCCCCTTCTGTCGGTGTGGTGGAGGTTGGGTCGCACGGGTTTAGGGTTTAGGGTTAGGTTGCCTTCCACCTCTGTGGGTGTGGTTGGGGTTGGGTTTAGGGTTTAGGACATGATTCGAGATCTTCCCCTCCCTCAAGTAGGTGTCCGTGGCTGGGAGTCTCGCAAATTGAGGAATTACGTAGGCCAAGTGTAGATTGACATGGTATGGGGATGAGAGAAGATAATTACATGGATTATACAGGATTCTCTTCAGATGTGTGATCTAGAGATGGTTCCTACGCAGTGTTTCTGAGAGTTTTAGAGGGCGTCAGAACGACACATAAGCTATGCATGGTGGGATATTAGAAGTAAAAAAAAAAAACGAAATCTACCGCAGTCCCAACATCCCTCTCACTGCCTGCATGTTTGAAATCTTGTACACAGAGTCAGACTCCAAAAGTGATGACTGTCACGGATATGGCGCCTTCCAGACACCTAACCCCTGTGACTGTTGGCACTTTTCAAATTGCGAGGGGCTAGCAACGAGGACAGTTAGACTGATACGGAGATTCCTCGCGTTCGCGGTCCCAGACACAGCATGGTTAGGGGGGTAGGGGCATGCATGTCAGACGCCTGACCAGGTGTGTATATATCTATATATATATATGTATATTTGTACCTATATTTATTTTTATATGAGTATTCCGTCTCCGCCAGCTTTGCAGGCTTTTGTGGCTGAGTGGGTCACCTTGACCTGCTAGGGCAGAAATAAGTTTCGGGTTTAGGGGTTTAGGGTTTAGGAGATATAGGGTTTAGGGTTTAGGAGATATACTGCAGTTGTACTGAAAGAGGTTTACCTTTTGGGGAGCCAGAAAACCTAACAGCTACACTCCACCCAACTACACGGAAAGTCATTATAGCCCCCCTTTAAAGGGGCTGTAGTCCATACAGGGCCCTTTCCGGATGATAGTTATAGAGTGCTTTTTTTGGGGGGGTGAGGGGCGGGGGGTTGGGGTAACCCCTAAACCTGAAAACCCTAAATCATAAACTAGAATTCGGTATGTGAGTTTCGTGTGCGTTGTGAACGCCTTTTCCGTCCTGCATCCTTCAGTGATGTTGATCCTGATGTTATGCAGATGGTCAAGATGAAGCCTAAACCCCTAATTAAACCCTAAACCCCCAAACCCTAAACCCTCAGCTGCAAGGGCAACTCAAGACCGGGTTGTACTACTAATCACTAATCGCTTGCTCTGCTTTCATGAAAGCACCGCTCAACACTAAACCCAAATTCCTGGACCCGCAAAACCCTCCAAAAACCCAAAACCCTAAACCTTAAACCCTAAATAGTAGTTTCCATGGTTTTTCCATTATCCCTATATATAACCCCAATAGAAGCCTAGACCCTGAATCCTAAACTCCCGTTGAGGATCAGCAGGAACCTGTAGCCGTCCTACAGCTACAGCGCTCTCAGAACACGAACTTCCGGAGCACGAACACTTTCGCGTACGTCTGGCACCTAGCACCACATTGGAAACGCGTTTCGGCTTTTGCTTACTGGTGGTTTGTAGGGAATACGGGAATAGAATGCTTACATATCCCCTTTGCAATCTATTCCCTTATGCCCTATTAACCCTAAACCTTCGACCCTAGCCCCTACACATATTCCCTGATTCCCTACCCCCCGTGGGATTATTTGTTGGGAAGGAGCGGGAATGACCGCCCGAACCCTAAACCCTTAAACCAGAAAACAGCAGAAATGACCAAACCTTCAGCTTCAAGTTTTCTGCATCTGGCTGGACCAGTTCACGGCTCTTTCTTTTAGGGTTTAGGCTTTTAGGGTTTTGGGGTGAGGGCTTTGGGTTTAGGGTCGCCATCTCCCAAACCAATTTTAGAAATGGAACACTCCCTGAATGCTCCTGACGAAGTTTTCCTTGGCTCCTGGTCATGTTCGTACAGGCCCCATGCATTTTTAAGGGGCTCCCTAGGTGTGTGAGATGTCATTCGATCATGAACAACAAAATAAATGGAATCATCATAAATGCTAAATAACTTGTAAATAACCCTAAGCCCTAAGCCCTAAAACGGCAGTCTTCAATCATGCGATTGGAGAACAAGCGTGCAAAACAAATTCAACCCCAAACCCTTATACCCTAAAACCCCTAAACTCAAACCCCTAAGACGCTTAAACCCTAAAACCCCTCAACCCAAACCCCTAAGACGCTTCAACCCTAAAACCCCTAAACCCAACCCCCTAAAACTCTTAAACTCCTCAACCCCTAAATCCTATAGCCCTTTAACACCGCAGGTACTTAGCCAACAGGGATGAGGATATCGCTTGTGGCATTCTGGTGGCGGCCGCGGCTGTGTCAGCACACGGGCTCCGACACTTGACATGAGCTATTGTCTAAGCTCCTTAAGGTGGGGAGGGTTTAGGATTTAGGATTTGGGGGTTATATCGAGGATTATTTAAGGGGAGTTGTAAAGGGGAGAATAAGGGGGATGTTTGGAGTTTAGACTATAGCTAACCTGAATTCGGAAGTCCTGAGCCTAAACCCTGAACCCTGCAGCCCTAGGCAGACCCTAAACCCTTAGGGACTAGGGTTTGGGGTATAGTCCCCCTTAAGTAGATATGATATAACTTTAGGCATATTATAATAAGATCCCCATATACCCCACATTCTATCTACTTAAGGGGGACTATAACCCTAAACCCTAAACCTTATTTCAAAGCCCAAAGCATGCCTAGACAAGGCAAGAGTTCTGGGCGTCCAGTGAGGGTTCTAGCCAGACGGTAAAGGGTTTAGGGTTTAGGGTTTAGGGTTTAGGGTGGGGGTTTAGGATAAAAGGTTAGGGACAATGGAGAATCAAACGTGAAAGAACATTGAGAAGACGATGCAAACTGGGTTTGTATTAGGAGGGGGGTCTATAGTGGGGGTTGAAGCTGGGTACTAAGAGGGTCTCCTTGCCGCAACCCCGCCACATCGAGGCCCTGTGACTATCATCGAACTCTTACAGGCTGCTTATTTTAGCTGGGATTGCAGGGATTAGGGTTTGGGGACCGAAGCCCTCTGTTAATTGGCCTTCTAGATCACATGTGTTGGTCAGGAATTTATGAATAAATCTTTGCCATGAGTGGGGTTTATAGGGTTAAGGGTGTAGGGTTCAAGGGAACATGACTGGGCGAAGAAGTGTTTGGGTGTGGTAGGAAGTGCGCTCTCCCTGCCAACTTCTGCCAACGCAAGGGCTGCTTCATAAACACCCTAACCCTGAACCCTAAAACCCTAAACCCCTAGAATCCTAAGCCTGCCCTTTGTTTGGGAGAATCTAGACAGAGCCTCCAATATGTTCAAAACTTGCTATGGGGGGGCTCAGGGTCGTATGGTTTTAGGCGATAGTTTAGGTTCCTAAGAACAGTCATGACTGGGTCGGCATTATAATACGTGTAAAGGTCATAGGTGTAAAGGTTAGTATTTCTACTGGCGAAGCGATCCTGATTCTCCATGCAAGCCCTCAATGCTGGAAGACACTCACCCCAAACCCGAAACTCTACAGGATGTGTTTTTAAGCTTTATGGTCTAGCTTTGAAGGGAGTTTGCAAGGCGGCTTATTACCCTTGATCCCTATACACTCCCCATAAAGCCATCATAAATAGATTTTGATAGGCCCCCAAATCTACCCTGGCCAACTTATAGCCATAAATAGTAGTTTGCGTGTCAGTATCCATTTGATTATCCATGATTCCCTCAACCTATATAGTCTCTACATGTCCCTATAGCCCAACACGAACTTAAGGTTTCCCCAACCCCAAACCCTGAACCCAAAAGCCTCAGGAAACAGTACAGATCTTGTGGTAATCCACAACGCGGGAGTTCCTCGGCCGGAGCGGTTCCGGAAGGCTGGCATCAAGTTGGTGGAGGTACCTTGGCCAATGCTCATGTGAGCTACGGACTAAACTTACGTTGGGGGGGAACCTATAGGGGGATGCATAGGGGGTGTGGGGGGACCTTAAGGCGTATACTAGAACTTAGTCCAGTGCTCGCATGTAGAGATTAGCACTTCCTACTGTTGATGCTACACATCCTGAATGACCTGCGTATACAAGAATACTTCTTACATCAACCATGATACGAGCCCCCTCAACCTACTGGCGAAAGCCGTCCATTCAGTTTAGAGATAGGAAGGTCGAAACCTCAAATGGCTGTTTTGGGTTTAGATTTTCAAGTCTAGAATTTAGGGTTAAGGGTTTAGGGTTTATAGGGTTTAGGGATTTGGGTTTCGAGTTTGTGGTTTAGGAGCTGCAAGTTGAGTTTTACCTGTTGGGAAGAAGGAGGATGCTAGTAAGAGGCTTTTGTAACCTTCACCTCTATCATAAGGATCCTGTTATGGTCATCTGAGTTACCGTCTAAACTCCTTAAAACGCGATATATATGTATATATATATGGAAGTATATAGAGGAGTCTGATAGGGGTTGGTGTACTAGGTGTGTAGACTGTAGGCCATAGGATAGCTATAAGATCCCAGTTTTGGGCTTGGGGTGACGGAAATCCAAAGGTTAACCCTAAACTCTAAACAGCGTTCCCAAGTGCATCAGCGCTGGAAGTCTTAATTGTCAGGCATGTTGTGACATATCTTTGGAGTTAAGGGTTTAGCGTTTAGCCACGGGGTTTACAGTTCAGGGTTAGCCAAATGGTTCAGTTTTTACTGAACATCCTGCATGCCTTCAACATACCAGAATGCCAAAAGTAATTCCCAAGGTTCAGATAATGTTTTGGATGATGCAACATTTTGAGTACCCTAAAGCCTGAAGCATCAACAGTTTGCATCTGGGTTGCTCGGGATGTACAAGACAACAGTTGTCAGAAATACTTACAAGAATCATCGCCATGAACGAGACCTATTGTTCACTCCAAGATAGGCCGTGCCGAAAGGTTCGAACATGTTTCACCACCCTTGAAAGCCTCAATCCTAAACTCTGAACCTTGTGGGTCTCCACGCTTATCTTCCATCAGTTTCAAGATCACGTGTCCCTCTTTGGAGGCCCTTCGAAGAAGGTTACTACCAGCACCCCCCCAAAGCATGTTGAATGATGCACTTGCTGACTATGTTCTGAGGTGTGGTCCTTTACTTCACTTGTTTTTGAGGTCCAGGTAATCATATGAGCCCTAGTCTAAACTCCTAGTATCCCCCTTAATATACCCTTTAGTAGTCCCCTTTTTTATCCCCTATATAAACCCCTTTCAAGGAGTTTAGACTCTAGCTCATATGATTTCATTCGTGGCAAGGCTAGTTTTGATGAGTGCCCTGGTCAAGGTACCATCCGCCGTTTCAAAAGGCGAAGTAACGTGGCGGGAATCGTTTATGAAGCTTCGGGCTTCGCAGCTTTTTCAGTACGTGCCTGGGCGGTTTAGGGTTGCCTTGAGGGCTTTGGACCTGTTAAGCGGTTTAGGGTTGGGGGCTGGGGATTGCGAGTGATCATGAGTGCCCCCAGTACCCTCTAAACCCTAATTCCCAAACCCTTACTAAACCTAAACCCAGGCTTGACTCTCCCTAAATGCGCTTGATTAAGAGGGGAATCTAGCGGGACTGTATGGAGGGGGTAGTAGTTGAACCCACGAAGTTAGGGTAAGGACTTAGTACAACCCTAAACCCATGAAGTTAAGGTTAGGGTTTAGTACATCCGGGCTCAGGAGTTAACGGTTTACGGATGTTTCTTCGGTTTACGGCTATTTCGTAGTGGGACTTAGCAAGCTTTAACTGTTAAGCATAACCCTAAACCCTAAACCCTTGTAGCCCTTATACTTCTGTATAATTAAGGCACATGGTTTAGGGTTTAGGCTTGGTTTAAGGAGCTATCCAGGTATGACAGTACTTTCTAAGCCCCCTTGACCCTATATAGGTCTCCAATTCTTTTAGGGTTCAGCGTTTTAGGGTTTTAGGGTTTTGGGTTTAAAGTTTAGGGTTTTCAACGCAGCCCTAAATTCTAAACCCATGAGGACCGAGTGATCTACTTTGACGTAGACACGCTCCCGCTTCTTGGGGCATATTTAGAAACCGGTCTTTACGTATTATCTTGGCGCGTTCTCAAACACAGGTATCCTTTAGGTGGACCCCCTACCCTGTAATAGTCATTATAAAAGGATAAGAAGGATTGTATCGGGGTCCTGGTATATTCCTATTATACCACTGTTACAGCGTGTGGGGGGGGGCCTCCTAAGTAAGGTATCCTTACGGGCCCTAATATGGTGAGAGTATTTTGAGATTCGCTTGTTTGGTCCGTCTTCGCCAACTAATTACCTTCGCACCAAAGACCGTGGGGGAATCACCGTCTTGTTAGTTTTGGAGCCCGAAGCTGCCAAAACGGTGATTGAACATCACGGCTTTGGTTGTTGTGGGGCCCGGACCTAGATGCCATCAAGCGCTTTACCTTCCGTGTAGTAAGCCCTAAAGCCTTCAAATCCTGACCCCTACACCCTAAAACCCTCCAACCCTACACTCTTAAACCCTAAATCCCTTGCAAGTAGTTGCCCCAACCCCTTAGTATGCCAGATCCCTTAATGCATTCCCTAAGTCGCTGTGAAGTCTGCGAGCCTTTCTCTCCCCCAGGGTTTAGGATTCAGGCTGTAGGGTTTCGGGTTTAGGGGTTTGAGGTTTTGGGTTTAGATTTAGGGTCTAGGGTTAGGGTTTAGGGTTCGGGGTTTTGGGTTTCGGTTTAGGGTTTGGGATTTAGGGTGTAGGGTTGAGGGTCTGCTACTGTTGGCCCCGCTGCTGTTCGTGAGTAGGTACTATATTGGAATACTATAAGAATTCCCAAGGTATGCGATACTGTACTTGGGTCATGCAGGAATGTAATATGGACCCTGATGAAGCCATGTAATGCAACCCAGTTTCCATGTAATTTTCCATTCTCTTTTTCATTTGTCTCTGCCACATCTGGTGTGATAGTAATGACCCAGGCTTGAAAACCCTCTTCGGTGTTTAAAGCAGGCTCGGCAGCTTGGACAATCTCTTTAACATTGCGAACTTCCCGATAGAGATCGCTGCTCCGAGGGCATACTGGCTGGAGGACGCGAAGCCCCGGGTTAAAGGTTTAGGAGGGACTTATAGGGCTTAGGGTTTATAGGCCCTAAAACCTAAGACCCTAAACCCTAAACCGCACCCCCAAACCTTGAAGTCCTGAAGTCATAGCCTCAAAGCCCAGACACCCAAACACCTTAAAAATCCCAACTCAATTCCTGCAACCCTTCAGCCTCATTACAACTCAGCCCTTGCAACTCTTACTCTAAGTGAGTAGTATTTAATTAATTTGGGGATACTATGGTACCCATTATAGAGTAAGATTATATCCTCCATTTGGGGTATAGTATTTTATATAAGGAATATAACCTTATTGGGCTCAACCACCAAAAAACACTACTCTAAGTGGGGTTTATGATTTAGGGGCGCTTCAGAAACCTGAGAACCCCACAGCCTGAAACTCTCAAACCCTAAACGCCTTAACTCTGAATCCCTTAGGGTTTAGGGTTTAGGGGTTTAGGGTTTAGGGATTCTGAACCCTAAGCCCTACACTCTAAGCCCTATATACACCCAAACCTTATATTCACCCTAAACTGTACACCCTACACCCTAAGGCGATCATAAGTCCGAAATCCTGAGGATGTCCAGCCTTTCGTCCAGAGCGGCGGCCCCATGATCATCGATCCGCGCAGGCGCGTCCATGAGAAGTTTTGAAGGTCTGAAGGTTAGGGTTTTAGCGTTGGGGGGTTCAGGGTTGACGGTTGAGGGTTTAGGGTTTAGGGTTTAGGGCCTTAAAGTCTTAAAGTCTCAGCGGGTTTAGGGTTCGGGGCTTAGGGTTTGGGATTTGCTATAATATCTGAAATAATTGGGGGGGGACCTCAATATAGATCCCCACATATGAGATTGAGGGGACCCCCACAAAGGTACCCATGATTTTGGGAGATCCCTCAAAGTCTCAGCTGTAATGTGGAGGTTTGCCAGGATAAAGGGTACCTTTCGGGGGTCCCTCTTAGGGATGATGGCCCCTGAACCCTAAAACCCAAGTTATGGTACAATATCTCATTCAGGCTTTTCTACGAGCGGGACTTCTCGAAATCCCTGGATGCGTCTGTGGTTCAGGTGGATGGCGAAATGGACTGGGTGAGCCTAGGTTCCGTGGAAGTAGGGCTTAGGCTGTAGGGTTTAGGGTTTGAGGAAATCTTCAGATGAATAGTATTTTGTTTCGGGATGCTATGGTACCCATTATAGAGGAAGATTCTATCCTCCTTTTGGGGTATAGCATTTTATGTCAGGAATATAATCTTACTGGGTTCAACCACCAAAAAAACTCTACTCAGATGATGCCGTTGATGCGAGGAATCCTCCACCACCCGCATCCGTGGTGCAGGTTTTGCAAATTGTCCTTCAGTGTTTAGGGTTTAGGGTTTCCCTAAACCTCCAGAATATTCCTGGAATCCTATGAGCAAAGTTCCAAAAATTGCTATATGCGGGTTGGCTAATGTAGAACCTTGAATCTATTTTAAACTCCTTAAAGGGTGGATATACCAAAACAAAAACAACAATGAGAAAAGCTTTCAGCAGGAATTGTCATTGACCCTGAAGTGTACAAGTACTTGACAATCATATGAGCCATTGTCTAGACTCCTAGTATCCCCCTTAATAACCCCTATACTACTCCCCTATATGATCTCCTATATAACCACCCTTTAAGGAGTTTAGACCTCAAACCCTAAATCCTAAAGCCTAAACCCTAATACCTAAGCCCTAAACCCTATACCCTAAACTCTATACTTACCCAAAATCGGTACTGCGGTTACTATTAGCCACAATCCGCAGTACCCAGTTATCGGGGACTTAGACCCTTGGGGCTACATAATTGCAATGCTAAGATTAGGGTTTAGGGTTTGGTTGTGCAGGCGAGGTCGCGCGCTCGGGCGTAAAATGCCCCTGGCCGCGCGTTTGCGTTGCTTTTTAGCCCACCCCATCCACCTACACTACATTCAATTAGGGTTTAGCACTTCCTGCGTGCATGCGGCGCGATGCATGACACCGCTGATAATGCTGCATTAGCTGGGCGTGCCAGTTTGCAGGCTCAGAGACAGGGCTTGAGTAGCCCCAGCCCTCTTCGGGCACGCTTTGGGTTTACAAAAAAACTTCGCTAATAGGGGAAGTCCGGTATGGCCGGCCCCCAAAAAGCTTACCCGGAGGGGGTGAGCAGGGCTTGTGAGTTGGCCTGCACGGGTTCAGGAGGTGAGGCTTTACCCTCACCTTTCCGCGACCCGCTCTTTCTGCCATGCGCTCGGGCTGTGAGCCCCCGGCCAGCGTTCGGGGTCTGTCGCTTGACGGCAGCGACCCGTCACTTAGTTTAGGATGTATTGCAGTAGCAAAATTTGACATCAGATAGCAGTGACAAAGTTTGACGAAAGATAGCAGTGGCAACGTTGATGAGGAACAGTCACTTCCGCAACAGCATGGACGTTCTTGATGGTTTCTACGCCCTGCTGGTTGGAGAATCTGGGCTGCTGTAAAAAAACTTGAATTAAGCTACCACAATGGGTATATACAGTGATTAATATGGTTTCGCCACTATAGTAATTCCAAATCCCAAAGCCCTTAACCCCAATATAATAACTTAACTTAAGTTCCTTAACGGCAACCCAGGAATGGTGCGGTGATGACAAGATCTTCCAATACTGGCAGAAGTATTTCCAGCGGCCGAAGCTGAATTCATGGGTTTAGGGTTTAGGGTTTCGGGTTGGGGTCATCTGTAGCAAGGAGCAAAACCTAAAGCGTGTTCGGGAGGGAGGATCGCCCGAAACAACACTAAACAGTGTCCCTCGTTCCACTCGGCACAAAATCCAGCGATGCGAGATCACAGTCCACTCAGGATTGTCAACTTTCCGTCCTTGGTCTGGTGAGTTTAGGATTTAAGGTTGGGGTTTAGAGCTTAGGTTTTAGCTTGCCTTACAATTTCTGGAATTGAGAAAGCAGGACTAAACGTGAAGGTGACATTTCAAGCATGGAAGGTCGCAGGGAGGGCATCGCAATAAAGCTACTAACCCCTATAAGCCTATCAGCTATACAATGCTCCGCAAATACCTGCATTTAACCCCATGACTGAACCATAAACCCCAAACCTCTCACTAAGTCCACAAGCCCTAAAAGTAAGGAAGGGCCCGGAGTGGATCTTGGCGCATGCGCCCATAGTCCATTTCATCGCCGAGTGGAAGCCTTGGCGCCTGACCACGCCCGAGCAGCTGCAGCGAAAGTGTCCATCGGCTCAACCACAACTGCTTCAGGTTTTTGAATCTCGGCGGTTTGGGTTGAGGGTTTACTTTTGTGCGCCAAGTTCTTGCATGTGTGTGTTTTAATTACCCTTGACCCTACACTTTAAGCTGCAAATCCCCGATCCTATATTCTACAGTTCGGGCTACGGACTGGCATAGAGTTCTGAGTATGTAGCTGTAGAATCGTTCCTTCCCGCGGGTTCTGAGGTTTAGGCCCCAACTGCTTTTAAACAGGATCTATGTCGGTCCCATTTGCGAGTGTTTGGGCTCTACAGCCCTAAACCCTACTGGCTGGATCCCATACGTTCCTGCAGCTTTTTGGGTTCGGCGAGGGGCCTTGCAATGATTCCTGCCCTTTCAAACGGGAGCTATATGGGCTTCCAGGTGTTATTAGGGGGAGAGTCTGCGCCCTGAACCCCAAACCCTATACGGCCTTAATTATACAGGATTATACCCCCTATAAATCCCACTAGAGACCCCTGAAGAACCTTCATGACGAGGTGTGTAGAGCTTCCCAATACATATTCGTGATGGTGGCTATACAATCCCGAATGTAGTGTAGAGTTAGATCATATCCCCCGTTAGGGAATACTTGGAGGCTTATGGGACTTAGTAACTACTTATAACTGGGATTATATCCTTGTTTATAATTGGAGCAACCCCTATAAGCCCATTTAGGGAACTTATAAGTAGAACTACAAGTCCAGTTACAAGTAGTTACTAAGTCCCATGGGCCTCCAGGTAGTCTTTTATCAAAAAGAGATAGTCTTACTTGCTTCAAGCACAAGGAGCACTGCAAAGCTAAGGAATCGTGGTGGAAAGCGAAGGCACGCGTTTGTTGATTGCACCGGCTCACGTTCGGTTGATACTAGAAATCCAGCGCTCAAGGCTTAGGGTTCAGGGCTACTGTGGGAATGTTTTTGTATCCACAGCAGGGCTGTGTAGCATTTCATCAAGTGCTGGCAAAAGGAAAATCCCACAGTGTCCTGAACACTCGAAAGCAAGCTGCATTCCCTACAAGATTGTGGCAACGGCCTGTACAGTCCTGTATGTAGCAGCTGTCAAGTGATAGCTGCGCCGCATTTCAACGGCACTGCTGCTACAAAAGCAGATGGCTTCCAGCTGCTACCAGGACAGTGTTGTCAGCGGACCCCCAGAAGAAGGACCACGACCCTCAGGCTTCATCAAGCTGTGTCAAGATCATTGTGGGGCTGTTTGAGCGCTTTTCTAGGGTCCTTTCTGGAGGTGCGCCCTTATGATTGCATGATACATCTCCGCATGGAAAGACGCGCGCTTCAGGAATCAAAGTGACACTTCTTCAAAACTGCATGCAAAGACCTTCAAAACCCTAAACCCTTAACCCTAAGCACTGAACCCTATGTCAGCATTGCGTCTGGGATCCCTTCATGTCCTCATATAACTATAGCATATTGCACGTGGTATATCAAGCCCCAGACCCCTGAACCCAAGCACCTGAACCCATCCTCTCTAAACCTTAAAACCCCAGACCTCCAAACCCTCAAATTCCTAAGCCCTAAACCCTACACTCTGAACCTTAAACCTTCACACCCCCTATGTAAACGTTAACACCCCAAGCCCCCAAACCCTTCAACTATCAACTCTCCGGTCTACAGTGTGTTGTGCAGGGGCTTGCTGGCGGTTTAGGGTTTGGGGTGCAGGGGCTTGCTGGCGGAGATGAAAAAGCATGGATGCACCGTCCCTTGGCAGCAACGTGCACTCTCGGCGCAGAGTCTTTGATCTGGTTCTCCTCCCAAACTATTTCGGGGTTTTAGGGTTTAAGATTCAGGGTTTATCATTTTAGGGTTTTAGGGTTTAGGGTTTAGGGTAATACTAACCACAAAACATGGCCCTATAGAGACTACTTGCCTTCCAAAAGAACCCTAAACCCTAATCTCTAAAAAAAGGGTTCCACGTTAGTTTGCGTGGAGATCCGCTTTCAAATAATCCCACGGGCTTACACGGAGGGCTACTATGCCTTTGAATAGGGATCTATTTTTCAGATCCTGAAATGGGTCTCCCGGCTCTTAGGACTTTTCCCTTTTTCTTGGGGCTTCCTTTCCTATTGTTAATCACAGGGAGGCTAACTTGTTGAGCTTGTTCGTGTTTGTGCAGTGGAGACTTTGAACGAGGATTTGTAACAATAGACGCATAGTTTGCAAGACTCTGATGCCTATAACACGTCAGACGGGAAAATAGATTGGGTTTAGGGTCTAGGGTTTAGGGAGACTGAAGCATGAATTGAAAGACCGAGACTAGTTCCATGACTTGCAAGAACAAAATCAAGATTTGCAAGACAAACAGCACAATCTTGTAACATCGAGCACCAAGCACATGTTTCACAAGACTGAAAAGTAAGACATGCGAGACTGAAAGCATGTTTAGTAAGACTTAACGCATGGTTTCCAAGACTTTTAATATGGTAGTTTCCCAAAATAAGGGGACCCCAACATAGACCCCAAATACAAAAGCCCTTATTACGGGGACCCCCAAAATGGTTCCCCTAATTTTGGGAAACTACCAAATGAACATGAGTTGTAAGAGGTGCTCTAAGCCCTATGAGCCCTAACACCCCATGTTCAGGGGGTTAGGTAAAGCTCCAAACCCTAAACCTTCAAAGCGATAAACCCTCAACCCAAAACCCCTAAAGCCTTCAACCCACCACTGAAACCGTAAATCCCTAAAAACCTGCAAACTCGTAGGTCCTAAACCTCCTAACCCTGCAGCCCAAAGCCCAGAACCCTAGGATTAGGGTTTTAGGGCCTGCGTCGTAAACCCGGGCTTAGGGTTTAGGGCTTAGCCAAAGTCAGCTAACCATGGATTCCCCTACTACCCCCTCAATACACTACCCGCCGCCCTTACGCTCTCCTTTCTTAACCAAACAAATACCCTTAAACAGACCTTAATGAACGGGGCACCTAAAAAAGACAACCCCTACACCCTGAACCCTTGAACCCTCAACCCTTGGACCCTAAGCCCTTAAACCCTAAGCCCTTAAAGTCCAAACTGAAAACCCTAGGTTCTGTCCCACGGAGCCACCGGCCGAGGAAACGACCAGGCCTCCTAGGAGTCGAGAGTTTAGGGTTCAGGGTTTAGGGTTTAGTGCGTAAACGATAGGAGAATTTGGGTTTCCTTCCAAGGTTATTGCCGGTATATGAAGTAGGATGTTTTTTTTTTGGTTTTGGGCTCCTCAAGAATATTGGTGAGTGTATGTAGTCGGTATCCAGCTGGAGGACCCCAAATTGAGACCCTACCATATATATATATATACGGTTTTAGGGATCATGGAGATTAGAACGGAACAGAACATGTAAAATGAATTGGACGCTGGACTTCGATCGGGGGGGTAGATGAGGAGCGGTAAGGAGAGGGCTTTGGTAACCCCAACCCCCGAGATAAGGATTGTGTAACTATTATCTAACTCCCTAAGCCCTAAACATCCCTAAGCCCTATATATGACCATATAGAGGGTCCAGGGTATAGGGGTTGGGGTTGCCCCAAAGTCTCTTACTAAATGAGTCATTTTGAGTGCTGCGAACGGAGGAAATCGTGCACCGCTTCACACGCCCTACATGCCTTCGAGGTTATACCCTAGACCCCAAACCTTAAGCCCATAGCGGCTCACCTAGAAGAGTGGGGTTAACCTTGGTGTTTCGGATGCAGAGTGCAAAGTATAGGCTTGTATGGGGTACATGACCTCACGCCCCAAACCCTACAAGCTTCAGAGGTTCATAGCTTGGTTGTTGATGGTTTAAGGCTCAGGTTTGTGTATTCGGTGGGAGATTCGTAACTATCCATGGGACCCTAATATGAGTTACCCTGAACCCTGAACCCTAAAGCCTAACCCTAAACCCCAAAATCCTAAACCTTTAACCCTAAACCCTAAAACCTAACCCTAAACCCTAAAACCCTAAACCGTAAAACCCTAAACCCTAAAACCCTAAAACCCTAAACCCTAAACCGCGTTTGGCTTCTAGGTCCGAACGGTGGGCCCTTGATTGGGCTCATAGGGCTGTCTAGGGTGTCTGTAGGTTTTAGTGTTTAGGTTTTACGGTTTCAGTGTTTTTGGCTAGGGTTTAGGGTAGAGGATGAGAAGTCGGGTCATAATGAGAATACTATTAAACTGATAAGCGGAGTTTTGCTATAAATGAAGTTGAAAACGGATGTATAGACATCGACCCCTAAACTTTAAACCTAATCCCGCACGCCTGATCCCGAGACCTTTACCCGGTAAACCCCGCCCCGAAACCTGAACCCCTAAAGCCAAAACCATCACCCCACAATTCATAACCTCTAATTCCCCCCAGAACCCTAATTTCCAGCCCGCAGGTGCGTTTTGAGCGCTATGTCAACGCCACTGGGCTGGCGGATTGCAGTCTTCTGTAGGTTTACTTGGGTCAATCCCCCACCCAGTAATGGGTACCACAAAATCGATTGTACACATATTAAGGCCCTATTAACTCCATGTTTAGGGGCTATTACTGTAGGGGGGAGAGGGCTTTAAAGAGTTACATGCAGGGTTTTGGAAATCGTGGCTTTCTTGGTTGGGGGTACCTTCATATGCAGAGCCGTACTATGCTATGAGAACACACAAGGGACCACAATTTTCGCAACCGACCATATAGGTCCCTGGGAAGGTGGCCTCCCACGGCTTATTAGGATGTTTTAGGTTCTATTTAGGGTTGAGGGTTTAGGGTTGAGGGCTTAAAGATTAGGTTCAGAATTTCTCCCATTGCTGTTTTTTAAATGCCAAGAACCCTGTAGACCCGAAACCCGAAATCCGAGGCCATGTGGCTATCCCTTGTTATTATTATTATTACTACTACTGCTACTACTGTCATTATTATCAGTACCATTATTAGAATAATCCCAGAGGGTCCACATATACAACTATTAGGGAATTAGGCCCCAAAATACCATACTATAGAAGGAATTATGGGTCCCAATTCCCTAATGGTTGTAT